AAGAGGCATTAGCGATCATCACCGCATTCAAGACATGGCGATGCTACCTCGAAGGGAGAAAGACCACGGTCTACACTGACCATTGCAGCCTGAAGTACCTAAAGACGCAGCCGACCCTCTCCAGAAGACAAGTCAGGTGGATTGACTTCCTCGAGACGCACTTCGACTACGACATCGTGTACAAGCCGGGACACAAGAATAAGGCAGACGCACTGAGCCGGCCTGGACACGTTGCCGCCATACAGATTGAGGGGATGAATCCGCTACTCAAGGGACTCTTCACGCACGGGTATACCATCGACCCCGAGATTCCCTTAGCAGAGAAAAAGAAATTGTTGCAGTGGGACCACGACGTCGCACTACGCAAAGGATCAACAAAGATATGGGTACCCAACTACCCGTCTCTTCGGCAGTTGCTTCTCGAAGAATTCCATGACGTGCTCTACGCTGGACACTTCGGGAGTAACAAGACTCTTGCCGGGATTGCGAAAGTCTACTACTGGCCTCACATGGCAAACGACGTGCAAAAGTTTGTCACTTCGTGCGACACGTGCCAGCGGATGAAAAGCAGTAAGCAGAAGAAAACAGGACTTCTTCAGCCTTTACCCGTCCCGGAACAGCCTTGGCAAGTGGTCAGCTTGGATTTCATCACCGGTTTACCACCTACCAACGCGGGGCATGACGCCATCCTGGTCGTCATCGACAAATTCTCAAAGATGGGACACTTCATTCCGACACATACAACCGCACGCACGGAGGAAACAGCACAGCTATTCCTCAAACACATCATCTCACAGCACGGGATCCCAACAACCCTCATATCCGACAGGGACCCCAAGTTTACTAGCAAGTTCTGGAAAGAGCTCATGTCGCTCATGGGGACACGCCTAGCAATGTCATCTGCATATCATCCCCAGACCGATGGGCAGACAGAGCGCTTGAACCAAATTGTGGAACAACTCTTGCGCGCAGCGTGCAAGGACGACATTAACAAGTGGGACTTGCACTTGCCGGTGTTGGAGTTCGCCTACAATAATGCGAAGCATGCCGCAACAGGAGAGACCCCATTTTTCCTCTGTTACGGACGACATCCACTAACTCCACAACAGCCGACAGTACCTGCAACTGTCCAACCCGCGCACGACTTCGTTACCATAATGCAGCAGCTTTGGGATCGGACACACAAGCGTCTACAGGACATACAGTCTTCACAGAAACGCTTGGTGGATACATAACCTGAACCTGCAGGTGGGGGAGAGAGACGCTTCCTTAAGCTGCAAGCCTAAGTGCCCTCACTGTGGGGGTGAGGAAAAACCTAGAGCACAGCCTTTACAACTGCCCTAAAATCCAAATAGTGATCTCGGCGCTGAGGCGGGCACTTCGCATGATCAACACCTCCCGTGCCTCTGCCTCGCTGGGTGACCTTCTCTTTCGGAAGGCAAAATCCAGCTCAGCCTTCCCAGAAGCAACAAAAATTTCTATCACGCTTCACCAGTTGTGGTTGGAACGCTGTTTTCAGAGGGCGGAAATTGAGGACACGGCGCGTGCTGAGAAGGATCGAGACTGCCTTCTACAAGCATGCGAGGGTGTACACGAGGGCAAAGGAGGACCATTGGAGGAAGCGAGGTGGAGTGGACACGAAAGGGAAGTTCCGGCGTGCAAGGGAGGAGGAGATAAGGCTGATAGACAAGCTGAAGGACAGCAGCAGCAAGACGTGGAAGTGGAGCAAGTCATTTGCTGCCATCTGGCAACTGCCGCGGACGAATCACAGACTGCCTTAGTTTCCCTTTTGAGGCAGTCCCATCACTGCCTCTCATGCACAGTTAAGACTGTCTTTGATGTATGCACTTGCTATATCCGGTGTATATATCATTTACAAAAAAAAAAAAAAAAAAAATCTTGAAATTGAAAACAGCCATGTGGAACTCGGGCTTTAACAACGCTGATTCTTCAGCAATTATTGGATTTTATTCTAGGCTCCAGGACGTATCTGGGAAGGTCTTTGAGCACCACACATCATCCCCCCTACTGGTACTTCCTCTGCGTCACGCACCTGTTCTTCAGCTTGACCCAGTTCTGCTGTGTTGGAGGTCGCGTGTGTTCAAAGAAAATGGTGGTGGGGTAGTTGTATGCCCCCAACCCACCAAATGTGTTTCTTCTAGTGCTCACGAGTTGCGTGAGCTGCAGGGAGTGGGTTGAATTCGGAAGACCCACTCAATGGGTGCCACATGGCAACACAAGAAGAGTCGAGATTGAAGAAGAATTCGGTTCGGTGAAATTCGGGTGCTGAATTTCACACCTTTGAATTGTTACACGAATGTTCGTGATGCATCTCGTAGTGACTAGATGTTACATGCGCGACCCGATGTGTTGAGTAGCTATAAATGTGTTTGCCTTGTTTGCATGTTTTCATACTGAAATCGAGAATCACTTTGTATGTGATACATTCGACTACAAAATCCAGAGAGCTCCTCTCCTAGATTCCAAGAGCACTACCTAGCACATAAATGCCTATATCTCGCTCAATACTTAGGCGATCGAGGTGATCTGCGAATCGTTGGAAAGCTAACAGAGTGCTCTATTGTTTAGTTGAAATCTCAGTTCCTGTCAAATAGAGGAGAGTCCTCTACAACAGTGGTATCAGGGCTGGTCGGTGGAGTCTACGTGCGTGACGAGTAGCTAACATGGTGACGTCAAGCGAGGCCTCCCGCACTTCCTTGGATGGTGTCGTTGTAAATTCTGGCGAACCCTAGGCAACCGCGAAGATGTTTGACACATTGGCGGTACCGATTTTCACGGGACAAAACTACTCCGCATGGAAGTTTAAGTTCCAAGTGCTCATGATGGAGCGGGGACTTTGGGGTCTCTTCGATGGAACGGAGAAGAAGCCGGACGACGAGAGCGGCATCGCGGCATGGAAGAAAAAGGACCAAAAGGCGTTCGCTACGTTGATTTCACGCATCGGCATCAATCTCGTGAGCGCGGTGCGCACGTGCATCAAGCTCGAAGCGTCGGTGCATGAAGCGAGGAAGCGGCTCAAGACGATTCACCTGAACAAGACTCTCCACGACAAGATCCTAGCCCAGAATGCGTTCTTCACAGTGAAGTGTCGCGAGGGCGAATCGATGCACGAGTATGCGACTCGTGTGGAGGAACTCCGGGAAACGTTCATGGACCTCGGTGGAACGGTCACGGAGGAGGATTGGATTTTGAACCTGCTTTGCGGCCTTCCGGAAGAGTGGTCGACGTTGATTACGACACTCGATAGCGTGCAAGACACTTGGACGAAGGAAATGGTGGTCGGTCGACTTCTCCATGAGGAATCGCGTCGCCGACAATTCGCTAATGAGAGCGTGGGGACCGCCATGTTCTCCAGAGGGAGTTCCGGAGGAAAGTCCAATTGGAGCAAGGGTGCGACTAAGAAGTCGTCCGGTGGAAGCGATCGCGGCAATGGAAACGCATCGAACGGCGCAAGCAAGTGCCACTATTGTGGCAAAGCGGGACACTTTTGGCGTGAGTGTCAGAGGAGCCCGAGCGATTGGACTCCATCGAAGGCGCGGAACCACAAGGGCAATGCTCATACGGCATCCAGCGAGGCGCATGATTCAAGGGAGTCAATCGTGTTATTGGCGGGTGACGGGACCAACACTCCAAGCGACGCATGGTTCCTCGACACCGGCGCAACACAACACATGACGCACTCGGCATCGTTCCTCACCAACGTTGTGTTAGAATGTGAGCGAATGAATGACTGAACTAGAAAGCAGGTGGGTACATATGGAAAACCTAAAAGTGTTGTACCCTGTAAGAACTACCCCACTACAGCCTAAACAGACTATAGCATATAAGTTTGACACACCCCCATAGGCAAAGTGGGGGAGAACAAGAGGTCACAAGACCAGTTACGAAAGGCAAAGCAAGCTCAGGGTGGATCACAAAGTCACCACGCAGTCTGAGCACAAGCAAATGGCCACAAGGCCAGTTCACATGCAGAGTTATATAAAGGAGAACAAACAATACAGTGAACACAACCTAGCAAGTGTAAGCATGCATGTATATGTATAAAGACTACAGTACAAGCAGATTCAAGAAGAAAGCAAGTGCGGCACAGTAGGTACAAGGCCTAGCACAGTACAGAAACGCTGATGATCACAAGGCTAAAGTGCCTTGGTGAAAACATCAGCAGTGTTGGCCTGAGAGGCCACGTAAGAGAGACGAAGCTGGACACGCTGCTGCAACTCTCGAGCAAGGAAGTAGCGCAGAGCAATGTGCTTCGTTCTGTGCTCCAGTCTGTGCTCCTGACACAGGGCCAGCATGGCCTTGTTATCGACGTACAAAACTGGAGGAGAACGAGGCGCCTCTCCCAAGTCGGTCAGTAGGTAGGTGAGCCAGCGTAGCTCCTGTGCAGCCATGGCCCCAGCGTAGATCTCAGCCTCACAACTGGAGCTGAGAACAGAAGAAGAGCGGGTAGACCGCCAAGAGACAGAACCGGAGCCAAGACTGAAGGTGTAACCCTGTGACGACCGCTGCGTAGCCAAGTCGTCAACCCAGGAGGCGTCAGCGTGACCAGTGAGGACAACTCGAGCCCGTCCTCCAAGCACGAGCCCCATGCCCGATGTACTGCACAAGTATCGCAACACCCTCTTCGCAGCATCCCAGTGCACCTTTCGGTGCCTGCCGGGAGCCACGTAGCGAGCCAGAAGGCTGAGAGGGTATGCGAGGTCAGGTCGTGTGCAAGTCATCAGGTACATGAGGCAGCCCACAAGCTCTGGATACGGGCCACTCGGCTCTACGGACTTGTCCGAAGGTGGAGCTGAGAGCGAGTGACCGGTAGGCAGAGGAGTGGACTGTGGCGAGGAGTACGTGAAGCCGAAGCGCTGAAGGACATGCTGCACCATGTGTGACTGAGTCAAGGTAATGGTGCGCTGCGCTCTGTCCCGGGTGATCCGCAAGCCAAGATAGCTTGTCAGTTCACCCAGGTCTGCGCACGTGTGTCTCTTCTACAGCTCGGACTTCACGTGGGCGAGTGCCTCAGTGTCAGCAGTAGCAAAGACAAGGTCGTCTACGTACACGAGAACGTAGAACGGTGGCAGAATAGTGTCAGTGCGTAAAAACAGAGAAGGGTCAGAAGTGGAAGGAGCAAAACCAAGAGCAGCAAGAGTCCTCCTGAGTGTGTCGTGCCACTCACGGGGTGCCGGGCGGAGACCGTAGACTGGCCGCCGGAGGCTCCACTGGGTACCAGCAGGAAACGACTCAGTGAAGCCAGGTGGGCAGCGCAGCCAGATCTCCTCGTGCAGGCTGCCCTGGAGGAAGGCTGTGCTGAAGTCAAGCGAGTGGAGCTCGTAGTCACGCTAAGCAGCAACGTGCAGCAGTACCCGAAGAGTGGTCATCTTCGGGGTAGGGGAGAAGGTCTGAAAGAAGTCAACTCCCTGTCGCTGACTGAAGCCACGTGCAACGTAACGCGCCTTGAAGGCAGGCGGAGAACCCGGCGGCCGCTTCACCCTGAAGATCCACATGCCACTGACGATGTTCGCCCCGGGTGGGGGAACCTCGTCTACGTAGGTGCCTGTGGACTTCCAGGAAGCCATCTCGGCATCCATGGCTGCCTGCCACTGAGAGGAGTAGGGACCCTCTATCGCCTCTGCGTAAGAGTGCGGGGTCGGGATGTCTAGTGCATCCGGGTCTCCCTCAGGGGCAAGCAACATGGACACGAGATGAGCTGAAGCAGCGGCAAAGCACTCAAAGTCCTCCTGCCTTTCCTCAAGGACGTCCGTGCCAAGAGCACACTCACCCCCGACGGACGGAGGACAGACAGACGCAGACGCAGACTCAGCAACAAGACTAGTGGCGTAGTCTAGGCGACAGGCTGCAGCAAAGTCAACGAGCTCAGAAACAAGAGCAGACGCAGCAGTGGACTCAAACAAAGGGTCAGTGACAGCAGTGGCCAGAAAGCGCGTGACCGCCGGACTAGCAGCACGAAGGGAGTCAGACTCCGGGTCCGGACCGACAGGAAGAGAGGACGCAGGAGGAGACGGCAGAGGGACACGCTGTGGAGCAGTGGAAGGACGCAGAGTCATAGAGTGAGTGCCAGGGACAGGAGGAGGACGCGGACGCGAAACACGACCAGCGCGAACAGTACAGACAGGCGACGCAGAACGAGACTCAGGCGACAGAGGACGCGACTCAGGCTCACGACGCTCCGTAAGACCTCTAGTCGGTCCAGAGTAAGGAGAAGGACCAGGTAGTGGAGAGGCCGGCTGTAACTGCGACTGGGACTGGACAGGCGGTGGGCACAGGAAAGGAGGAGGAGGACCAGGAGAAGGCGAGGAACCAAGAACCTGCTGAAGCAGAGGAACATAGTACGGCCGCAGCCGCGCAGCGTCTCCAGCAGGTCCAGGAGCTCCTGCACCAGCAGCTCCTCCAGCACCTATAGCACCGCCAGCAGCTCCAGCAGCACCTCCAGCACCAGCAGCACCTCCAGCAGCTCCAGCAGCACCAGCAGCAGCTCCAGCACCAGCAACACCTCCAGCACCAGGAGCACCTCCAGCACGAGCAGCACCACCAGCAGCCCTAGCAGCACCTCCAGCACCAGCAGCGCCTCCAGCAGCTCCAGCAGTACCATCACCTCCAGCAGCTCCAGCAGTAGCTACAGCACCAGAAACACCTCAAGCACAAGGAGTACCTCCAGCTGCTCCAGCAGCACCAGCACCTCCAGCAGCTCTAGCAGCACCAGCAGCTCCAGCAGCACCACCACCGCCAGCAGCTCCAGCAGCACCAGTAGCACCACCAGCAGCCCTAGCAGCACCTCAAGCACCAGTAGCACCTCCAGCAGCAGCTCCAGCACCAGTAGCACCACCAGCAGCCCTAGCAGCACCTCCAGCACCAGCAGCACCTCGACAGCGCCGAGAGTACCACTCACGAAGCTGCTGTGGAGAGAGGGGCTCCCGCCGCGACGGGACCCCTAGAGCACCGCCAGACTCAACACGCAAAGGCTCAGCACCTCCAGACGCAGTACCCTCAGGCTCCACACGCCCAGGCTCAGCACCCCCAGACGCAGCACCCCCAGACACAGAAACCCAAGGCTCGGCACCCCCAGTCCCCGCACCTGCAGGCTCAGCACCCCTAGTAGCACCTGAGTCGACAGCTACCTCGACCGGCTCAGCAGGGTCTACCTGGGACACACGTGAGGGGGCAGGACCCTGGGGGGGGAGGGGGTCTACCGGGGGAGTACCTGGTGCTAGGAAGAGCGGCGGGGGGGGGGGGAGAGAGGCAGTGCGGTAGGGAAAGAGACAGTAGTAAGACACCGACTCGTCAAACGTGACGTCCTGAGAGGACAGAACACGACGCGAGGTGGGGTGGTAGAACTGCCACCCGGGTGCGTCAGGAGGGAAGCCAAGGAAGACACAGGGAACGGCACGGGAGGACAGCTTGTCCGCTGTAGTATCGCGGACAAAAGCTTGAGATCCCCAGACACGGAACGCGGACGCATCGCCAACCTTCCCCGTCCACCGCAGAGTAGGTGTGGTCTCCGGCAAGGAGACACGAGGCTGAAGGTTGATCTGATGCGCAGAGTACTGAACCGCGAACGGCCACAGAAAATGGGGAGCAGCCGCATGGATCATGGACGTACGAGCGACGTCCATGACCATGCCAATGCGGCGCTCAGCAATCCCATTTTGCTGCGGGGAGGCCGGAAGCGTGAACGTCTGGCGGATGCCCTCCGAACGACAGAAGGCCCTCAGGAGGTCGGAGGAAAACTCCCCACCTCTGTCTGAGTGCAGACGCAGAACAGGAAGGTCCGAGCCGAAACTCTCACTGAGCTGGCGACGAGCACCGCGGATCCAGTCGATCAGCACCTCAGGGACCTCACCCTTGCTGCGCAAGGGGAAGACTGTGGTGTAACGCGAGTACTCGTCAACGACCAGCAGGAAGTAACGCTCGTGACCCTTTCCACGGACGCGGGCTGGGCCCCACACGTCCATGTGAAGAGTTTGCAGAGGAGCCTCAGTCGGAGGGAACGAGGAGTGAGGAGCGGCGCGCTGCCGGCCCTCGACATAAGGAACACAGGTGGGGGCAGGCCCCGGAGGAAGGGGAGGGAGGGACCGGGGTAGACCCGAGACAAGGGCACGGGAGGCCATACCTCGAAGACGAGGCAGGGAGGGGTGACCAAGGCGGTGGTGCCAAAGGAGAGTCTCGTGCGACAGAGGACGACACGAGCAGGGGGCAAACGCAGGACTAGACCTGGACGCGGCAGCAAACACCTGACTAGACGCAGGACTAGACCTAAACGCGGCAGCAAACACCTGACTAGACGCAGTACCTGACCAGACGCAGAGACCGGAGGAGGCGCAGTAGTCAGTGTGTAAAGACTCGACCCTGGCCGACGGGTGAACGTGGCCAGGTGGCGGCCCGTCCGAGAGCAAGTGCAGTGGGTCACACGCTGACCTCCAGGGGTGAACTGGTCAACCCACGCGTCCTGGAGGTCAGCTCCACTCACCAAGTTCGTAGAGAACGAGGGGAGGTGGAGTCCCGACAGCAAGCCCGACGGGGCCGCAGGACACGGTAGAACTGTGGAAGAGTGTGCAAGGACTGGGCCCCCAGATGGGTCAGCAAGGGAGACTGCAACAGGCCGACTGAGCGGCGTGAGTGTTGTGCTGTCTCTAAAGAAAGAGCACGAAGCACTAGAGTCAAGTGTGAAAGTGTGCAAGGCCTCAGTAGGTGCAGTACCAGAGAGAGCAGACGCACCAGCACCTGGAGCAGCAGACGCACTAGCACCTATAGCAGCAGCCGCAATGCCCGGGTCGGGCGGGACACTCAGGTAACAGTCACCCTCAGCACTATCAGCAAAAGCATACATGGCAGCAAGGATAGCATCGAAATCAAGATCAAAGATAGGCACATTCTGCAGAAGCAGATCATGCCAGTGAGGGAGCTCAACAGCGTCAGGAAACTGGGCACGCCAGGCGTCAGTCAAGCGACCGAAGCAGCGCTGCGTAGTGTGTGGCAGCCCACACGCCTCCCCACGACGACTGCCGGTGCGAAGAACGTAAGTGCAGGGACCTGCACCCCCAGACCTCCCACGCCCAGCGTACCACTCACGAAGCTGCTGGACCGACGGGGTCTCACGGGAGCGCAGCTGCTGCTGGCGCTGGCTGCCACCAAAGCCTCCACGCTGAGCGGCTGCACCTCAACCAGCACCACCGCCGCCGCCACCTCCACCACCGCTGCCGCTGCCTCCACCACCTCCGCCACTGCCGCCACCACCTCCACTGCCGCCACTGACGCCCCCACTCCCGTTACCACCCCCACCTCCACCGCCACCTCCTCCGCCTCCTCCACCTCCTCCACTGCTTCCCCCGCCGTCCCCTCCACCACCCTTGCTCCCCTTGCCCTTGCTGTTGCGGCGTCTCCCACTAGGGGCAGACGCAGCTCCGACCTCGTCAGTGCCAACGAGGTCGACAGCAGCAGCAGAAGCAACAGAGGGGAGAAGGGGGACAAGGGAACACCCCTCAAAGAAAGGGGTGCGATGGTCGTCGCGAGAAGCACCTACAGCTAAGATAATCTTCTCAGCTGCAGCAAGGCGCTCCTCTAGCAGGTCAACAGTCAGCTCGGTGGGGCAAAGGGAGAGAAAGTGGTCCCTGACTGAAGAAAGGGAGTCAGGGAGGCGGGTGACTAGGTAGTAAAGGGTGATGTACATGGGGGGGGGGGGTTCTTGGCACAGAACTCAGTGGGAAGGGCAGCGCGGTAGCGGGCATCACTGGTGTGAAGGTGAGCAACTAGGTCAGCAACTGTGGCAAAGGCGGCAAGGTCAGGGAAAAGGTACGGCAGCATGAGGCGGCTGAGGGCAGCAGTGGCCGGGGAGGAGTAGCGTGCAACTACAGCGTCGTACAAAGACTGAGCAGTCTTGTACTGGCCAAAATGCACGCGCTCAGCAGGTGGCAGGTGACTACGAGCAGCAAGACGAGCAACAGCGTCACGAGTGGTCCACTGCGAGTGAACCGTACTGTCAGCAGTGGCAGCAGGAGCAGTAGAAACACCGGACGTGTGATCGAAAAGGGATACCCCATCCCTAGAATCACACTGAAGAAAGAGTTGTAGGTCGTCAACCCACACGTCAAAGTCAACTGCACGTCCCTCAGCATCAAAGGTGAGAACGGTAGGACTAGCCATAGCTGCAGTAGGAGCAGTAGCAAGAGTATCAGCAGTAGCAGCAATAGCAGCAGTAGCAGCAGTAGTAGCAGAGGCAGTAGGGCAGTGCAAGGCAGTGCGGCTCGGTAGGGCAGTGCGGCTCGGCAGGGCGGCGCGGCTCGGCTGGGCGGCGCGGCTCGGCTGGGCGGCGCGTCTCGGCCGGGCTGCGCGGCTCAGCTGGGCGGCGCGGCTCGGCTTACCAGAGACGGGTGCAGGGGCGGGCCGTGACAGCAGGGGCCGCGCCAGAAGGGGCCGCGCCAGCAGGGGTGGCGACGGCAGGGGGGGGCCACGACCACAGGGGCCGCGCCAGTAGGGGGGCGCGCCAGCAGGGGCCGGCAGGGGCGCGTCAGCAGGGGCTGGCAGGGGCGCGCCAGCAGGGGCGCGTCAGCAGGGGCCGGCAGGGGCGCGTCAGGAGGGGCCGGCAGGGCGCGCCAGCAGGGGCGCGTCAGCAGGGGCCGGCAGGGGCGCGTCAGCAGGGGCCGGCAGGGGCGCGTCAGCAGGGGCCGGCAGGGGCGCGTCAGCAGGGGCACGTCAGCAGGGGCCGGCAGGGGCGCGCCAGCAGGGGCCGGCAGGGGCGCGTCAGCAGGGGCCGGCAGGGGCGCGTCAGCAGGGGCCGGCAGGGGCGCGCCAGCAGGGGCCGGCAGGGGCGCGGCAGCAGGGACCGGCAGGGGCGCGTCAGCAGGGGCCGGCAGGGGCGCGTCAGCAGGGGCCGGCAGGGGCGCGCCAGAAGGGGCGCGACAGCAGGGGCCGGCAGGGGCGCGTCAGCAGGGGCGCGTCAGCAGGGGCCGGCAGGGGCGCGCCAGTTGTTGGGGGCCGCGACGGGCTTGGGGGCCGCGACTGGCTAGGGGCCGCGATAGGGAAGCACGATGCGCGCTTCGGGCAGGGCAGGAAAAAAAAATTCTAGTGGTAGGCCCTTAAAAACGTTCCCACTAGGGAACCTCCTCAGAATACCATGTTAGAATGTGAGCGAATCAATGACTGAACTAGAAAGCAGGTGGGTACATATGGAAAACCTAAAAGTGTTGCACCCTGTAAGAACTGCCCCACTACAGCCTAAACAGACTATAGCATATAAGTTTGACACGTTGGTGCACCGGGGGACGTCACGCGCGCCGTCTTCGGAAACGACAAATCACTACCGGTGGTTGGAGTTGGGAGTACGCGCCTCATCGTCGATAGCAGACCGGTGGACATCACGAACGTGCTGCATGTCCCGGGGTTGAAGGTGAATCTCCTCTCTGTTTCGCAACTTGCGAAGAAGGGAGTTACCTTCACTATGGACGATGCGAAGATGAACCTCTTTTGGAAGGGGAAACAATTCGCGCAAGGTGTTCTCAACGGAGAACTCTACCAACTCAAGACGCACCCGAGAGTGGCTTCATCCAACGTGGCGCAATGTTCCAAAGCGACTCTCAAGGTGTGGCATAATCGGCTTGCGCACGCCAACTACGAATCGGTCAAGGAGTTGGCCAACGAACGGCTTGCGAAGGGATTTGACGTGATCGCCGGCGACGACGAGAAGGGCATATGCGCGGCGTGTGTCGAAGGAAAAATGGCTCGCAAGCCATTTGGTAGCCGTACCTCACCCCTCGCTAAGGACCCGCTTG